TGACTCTGGCCAAGAGAAAATTTCCGGTGGTACCGAGAATTTTCTCTTCCTTCGCATCAAAGAGACCGTCTTGATACTGCAACATGTACAGCATGGATTCCTGGTTTCTGACTCACCTGGCCAAGAACTCAAAAAAGGGATATTGAGTGAGTTGCATACCATTTCGATACCAGGGGTTGTCATTGACAGTCGCACATTCAGTGGTCATCAAGAACTAACAACGCATCTGCTTAGTCCAACTCAATCACGTTGGATCGAGCATCCGCTAGAATGCAGCGCTCAAGCGGCTTGTTCTCTGATCTCGGATATCGATAGAGATTTATGAGATAGGTCGAACGTATGAAACTCCTACAACCCCCGAACAACACCGTGATTCAGAGAAAAAAGTCCATGAAACGCGTCGTTACACGTAGAATTCTGGCGTATCTTGTTGACACAGTTAATGCGGCATCTTGGTGAGTAACGACCATATCTGCCTTGAATTGCCAGTATTTATAGTTTCTACTGCCTAGGACACACCGCGGCGTGCAACGGGTTCCTGGGATTTCCGTCAACAAACACACATCTCGACATGAATTAAGCTTGATCTCAGAAGCTCAGCGCACTCCTTGCTGACTATGAGCTGCTCTCACTGTCGGCCTCTTGCACTCCAATCAGGACAAGATTATATCTCGAAATTACGAAAATCCAGCAGCCGTTGCAACTATAAAGATGATGACTGCGATTGACAATGCTTCACCAACACCCAGGCCTTCTGAATCCAACGCAAACCAGAGAAACCATGTCTTCCACACCCTCTCTTCTCAAACCTCTCACTCTTGGACCCCTCACATTGCGAAACAGGATCGTGATGTCCGCTATGACGCGTAACCGCTCCGTGCCAACCAATGTTCCCAACGACCTCAATGTCGAACACTATAAGCAACGTGCTAAAGGGGGCGCTGGTCTGATCGTCACAGAAGGTATCCTGATCACTCAACAAGGGTAAGTGCGTCTGAAGCATTGCCCTGCACCAATACGCTAATGTCTAATGTAGAACCGAATGGCAACATGCCCCTGGTATTTGGAGCGATGAGCAGGTTCAAGGATGGAAGAAGGTTACCTCGGCAGTCCATGAAGAGGGCGGGTTGATTTATGCACAGGTGTGTTGAACGTGTTCTCGTGAAGACGGTCGGCTGACTGCATTTCGTGTCTAGCTCTGGCATCGTAAGCACTCAGGTTCTTCTCCGAGTACTTGTTGACATTTTCCCATAGTCGGTCGTGTTAGCCATCCTGACGCGCCAGAACAAAAGGCCTCGGGGCAGGTGCGTCAAGCATATATTGTTTTCCTGTTTGTAGCTAATAGAGGTGATATTTCAGCCTGTCTACGCACCTTCAGCCATCTCCGCACGTGGAGGAAAGTTCCGCTTCTTGCCTGGTGTACCTGGATATGTTACCGTACGTATAGTGATAACTGTGGAGATGACGGCATATTGATGTTGACTGTGACTATACCAGCCCACCGAGGTTGATGATCCTAGTAAACTCGTCGCCTTGTTCAAAGCTGCCGCTGTCAATGCCAAAGAGGCGGGATTTGATGGTGTCGAATGTACGCTTTCCTATCTCCATGCTCATTGGGCGCTCTAGTAACAAACAATGACAGTACATGGCGCCAACGGCTACCTTGTCCACCAGTTCCTTGACAATACCTCCAACAAACGCACCGATAAATGGGGTGGTAGTGTTGAGAACCGAAGCAGGTTTGGTTTAGAGGCACTCAAAGCTCTGATTGAAGTCTGGGGTCCGGAAAGGGTTGGTGTCAAGCTGGGTCCAACGGGTGGTTACAACGATATGGGGTGATTATCTTTCGCCTCTTCTGGACCAGAAGCTGACTACAGATCGTAGAATGACGATTGAAGACACACTCGAGACATTCCGCTACTTCATAAGTGAAGCAGACAAGCTGAAAATCGCGTACATCTCCCTTGTGAAGTACGTGGAGGCTTTGGATGTTGTATTTGATGGTACGCATTCTTCTGGTACAAAAATGGATTGGCTAACATTCTCTATGGATTAGGCAAGAAACGTGCGACCATACATGACGTTCTAGAGTCTTATTCTCCGTACATCAAGAACTCACTGCTCATCTACAACGGTGGAATTTCACCTGAAGAAGGGGATAAGTTGGTCTCAGGTGAGATTTTCTTCGTTCTTCACGTTATTTCACGTCTCATGCATCTTTTACTTTTCTAGGAAAGAAAGTTGCTGCGGTTGCTTTTGGTTTCCAATGGATCGCACAACCCGACTTTGCGAAGAGGCTGCAGCACGGCAAGCCTCTGACTCCCGAGAAGACGGATTTCTCTACACTATACGGCGTTGTGGGTGGAAAAGACGAGGAACAGGGAAGGGGCTATATTGATTATCCAGAGGCGACTTATGACTAGAGCTACTTACCTTCTACTAGTGTCTCCAATGTGAATCCTTCTAAGGGTTCTAGTTTTTACGTTTACCTTGTCCTAGAGTCTCGCAAAACTTCCTCATAGCAGCGGAGGGTTAACTGCAAATGTATTTTTGAAGATGCAACTGGCCCAGAAGAGTTGGGTAAAAAACGAAGCAATACGCTCTATTGAATATGAACGTGCCGTGGCGGACGTTCATATTCTGGGTCTCCATTCGCTGGGTAGTCTATGTGTCGAGGGAAGAGACTGAGAACGGGGCAGTTGTTCCTCATGCTTTCACTTTACTTAGCGTCCAGTTTTCCATCCAGGTTCCGAGAAACTTTGCAAACAACATGGCATTATGGACGTGAGAAGGACGAGAGACAATGAAAAGAGCTGCTCTACGTAGGGCGATTTTTTACTCGGGAAGTCTATGACCACACCAAACACCCGTCGCTGTAATCCCCAACATAATCAAGTCAACCATATATCTCGCAATACCTCCTTTTCCACCCGATATACGCCAATCCAATGCTAAAGATGCCGCAAAGAGTGACGATGCGACGAAAGGCGCTAAACCGCGTAGCCCAGAGGATATCATATGTTGAATCCCATTGACAGCACCTAAAGCACCTTCAGGTGCGGCTTTCACAATGAGGATGGCACAAGAATCTGAAAGAAACAGTACATCAATACCTGGAGAATGCAGTTCAACACGGGATAATTACTGTAAGCCGTGGTACCCAATGAAGCGCTCGACATCTGCATCACAATCAATGCCCAAGTCAACTTATTCACCTCTCCGGCCCACGCCGTCACAACCCTTGCTAACATCATCAACGTGAAGTTGCCTAGGTAGAACGTGTAAGAGAGGATGAACATCTTCCTTGCGCCAATTCGCTTTAACATGGGCTTCCAGACGAATAATTGGAGAAAAGCGTTGCATGTTCCGTATATACCTAGTATGACGCCGATTTGGTAGGGTGAGAGGCCAAGGCCACCTGTCGGGATAGACGTGGAGTAGGCAAGAGGTATGAGGACAGTATAGGCCATGTGTGTGAAGGAGAAGAAGGCGTGAGTCATGAGCGCGCGTTGAAGATAGACACTTGACGTGACAATTTCTCGGAAGGTCAAGGCCTTTTTGAGTTGTACTTTATTCGAGTTGACATTGTTGGTTCCATTGCGACCGTCCGACATCTGTTGACCTTGCAAAAGTGGCTGTTGTTCTGGGTTGACGTTTGCTGAAGCGTTTGCTTGAGACGCGGTCTTCAATGACTAGAAAAAAGGTCAGCGGTGATGTTGGCCGGGAACCGACAGACTTACCTCCTTCAAACCAACAAAGGAGAACCCAAATGTGAAGAGAGCCAATACGGCCGTAACTGCACACGGCAAGAAGTATGGGAAGTCATAGAAGAAAGAGCGTCCGAATATCTTGGGCCAGCGTTCTGCGGGGTCAGAGAAAAGGCCGCCAATAATGGGCCTACAGTCAAATTTCAGAGTGATGCCATAGTCAATTGGGGAAGATCCCGCACCCTAATGTAACACCACCGCCGTAGGTGAGCGATATCAGCGCATAAGCATCAGGGAGGTTTGTGTCGTCTGTGATCTTCCGTAAATCAGCTTTGCCCAAATTTGTGAGAGTTCACAGAAACTCACTTCTGCAACTAAGGTCTTCACGACACCTTGAGGCTCGTCAGCAACTACACAAATAAGGGTGTATGGTCAACGCACCTATATTTCCGTTAAACACGCCTTGCCAACACCTGAAAAATAGCATTTGCCAAAATGTTTTTGATAAACCAAACCCAAGCATGGCGCAGGCGAGACCTAGAGGACCTAGTAGGAGGATAGGTCTACGGCCCATTCTATCCGATGCTCGGCCCCATTGGAACACGACCAGGCATTCGGTGACGAAGAACATTGACTCCTGAAGAAGATTTGAGTATTGAGGTAAACCAATAATAGTCTTGCACTCACTATTATTCCAGCATAGTAGCCCGTTCTCTTCTCATCTCCACCAGTGATACCAGTCGAACGAATGAATTTTGGGATGAAAGGGTATATGACGGTCGCCGTAATCGGTTCCGTGCACACGATAAGCAAAACGAGGGCGATTTGAAGCTTAGGTAGTGGCGTTGAACGTGGTCGTTCGTCCGAGGTCGTCATCCTCTACGTCCCTAGGTGAACTCTACTGCCCGAGTTCAGGTTTCGAGTCAGATTGAAGTTGGAGTTTCGATGAAGGGTCGCACATCATGCATCAATTCCCACCCACTGGCTTGAATTGTATGATCGCTACTCGGACTAAGTGTCTTCCTGCGAAAAATGCTGATTAAGGCGTCGTAGGCCATTGAGATTGCGAAGCATGGTGGTAAAGAGGAAGCCTAATTGCCTGCCGGATTCGCAGGATTTCGGTGTAAGCTCTCCTCCACGACTCTTTTGTCTTTTGTTAATCACAACCAAAATACTACGGTGGTACATGTTTATCTAGACAGGAGAGGTATATGAAAGAAGAAATCTACAATTTGTCTGTTTGAACTCGTTTACATTCCGATTATATTCCGAGGATTTGCAGCGTAATCAAGCGGTTCGGTGGTGTAGTTGGTTATCACATCTGTCTAACATCTCTGAAAGGGAAACCCGCACAGAAGGTCCTCAGTTCAAGTCTGGGCCGAGCCAAGTTTTTCGACTTTTTTTTTTTTGGCTTACTGAGCATGGCCGTAACAGATGAAGAGTTTTTGATTTTCAGCATGTACTCAGTACTGCCAGCCAGCCTGCCTTTCCGGTGTACGACTGCCATTTTGGTAATAACCCAATAATTCGATAAGCCAATGCACCAAGTCTATTAAGTATAGAGCTGAGTGATACAAATGCGACACGGATACATTAATCGACAGCGAAAAAAAGTAGATTGTCCGTTAGAGAAGCGCTGTTCCTATGAGGAGAGAAGCAACAGAGAGCAAGGTTTGTAGCAAGGAAATAGATAAATTGTTCGATGAAGAGCCATTGTTGGCTGCATGAGAGCTCGATGACTGCGAGCTATTGGATTTGCCAGCAGACCCAGAGGGAGTGGCACTAGCTCTGGCGTTGGACGTCGTCGATGATGTAGATTCCGGTGCCGAGCCTGGATCTTTTGTGATAGTTCCAGAGATGTCTGAAAGGAAACGGTTCAGCTGAAAGTATTGTGGTAAAGATACATGTCATACATTCTTCGAAGGTTGGGAGAGTGTAGTTGGTCTCGACATAAGGTTGGGTCTTGTTCATAGCAACACCGACGGGGACGATGTACTGTAGGGGATAGTTAGCGTGGAGTGTAGTCATCGAATGTTAGAGTAAGAACCTTGAAAGCCTCCTTCAGTTGAGGATAGAACTTGACTGCCTCGGACATCGTGAAGTTATTGAGCTGAAGGCAAAGTTAGAACACAAGAGGTTCCTTGTACAGACCAAGTGGTGTTCACCTCGTGAGTAAGAATGATTCCTCCCTCCTGTGTAGCAATTGGGAGTCAGCATCCGTTCATGAACGGTAGACTCATCATCCTTACAGTATCAAACTTGCCGGTCTTGGCAGCATTGATAAAGTCCATATAGTTCTGATCAACTTGTTCAGGCGTAGCTTTGCCAGCTGCGACCTGCCAGTCGTCTGAATCGTACTGCCAGGTGATAGTCGTCATTCCGAGCGCATTCGCAATAGCACGAATACGGTCATCGGTATCTCCGAACGGAGGCTAAGGGTGATAAGGGTGAGATATTGCGAACCCATGGAAATCATAAATGGCTCACTCTCCAGCAAGTCGGTGTGACGCCAGCAACGAGCTTGATCGCTTGCATCTACACTAGTCAGTGAGAATTTGTTTTGGTGGCTTAGTAGGGAACCGCTGCTCACAGCTGGACGAAAGGGTCAGTCAGGTCACCACGCTAATGTGGAGGAGGACTTACTGTACCACAATTCTGCGAAAGCATCTTCGCTGGTGAATGAGGTCACTAGTGGGAAGGCCATCAGTACATGCTTGGCCAAAGCCAAGAGAGACAAAACGTACTGTAATTGTGTGACCAGGTATCTTGACAGTCGCGTCAATACCAACGTTCCGGTGAAATGGTAGATCATACTTACGAACGCAGATCTCATGTCCTAGTCAAGGGGTGTGATGAGAGATCGTCATATATTGAAGGAACAAGGGCGTACCTTCAACGACAGCACGTTGTGCCTCCAGCGGCCAGTCCATGACGTTGCTACCAATGAAGAACATTGCTACAGGGTGTCAGGTCATAAGGAAATCACAGCGTCACCGAATCGTTACGCACTAGCTTTCTGATTGTTCTCTTGCAGGTAATCGTAGAAGGCGTTGTGGCTGCGAATTATGCATTAGAAATGAATATAGACAGACGCTTTTAGCGGTCACCTGCAATTAGGTCCATCGTCGAACCCATAACCAACGGTCAAAGGCTAAGTAATTATCAGATAGATACTCGCCGTTGAAATTGTTCGGCAGAAACATACCTCCGGAACGGAAGAGATATCAGGAGGAAGACCAGCCAGCTTTGGTGTAACACATTGGTGAGCGGTCCACCAGCAGTCAGGATCGTCAGCAGGATAGTTGACACCGGAAAAGTCGCCATTGTGTGTACCCTAATAGTGTGTGAGCACTGTAGTCGGTGGTTGATAGAAGAGCCAACCTTGGGGGGGATGTTTGGGATTTTGTCTTTGATCTCGTTCCATTTGTCTTGAGCGGCAGTATCGGTGGACAGGATCGAAGCGGGCTCCCAGATAGTAGGAAATGAACTCAAATGGTCTGCAGATCCAGCCCAGTAGTAGGGAGCACACTCCTCGTTCGGATCTGAGGAAGAATTTGTGAGTCGAACGAATCAAAAAGCCATATGGATAGAAAAGTGGTAAAAATCAACCATGCGCGTGTCCGACTTCCAAGCATGGAGCACCGCTTTGAGGAACTAGGAACAAAAGCGGGTCACTCACCAGAAATCTGAGCTTCCTGTTCCTCATTACTACGATCTTGGGCCACTACACCCGTTAAGAGCGAGAGCGAGATAGCGAAAAAGGACGCGAGTTTGACTGTAGTTTGTGTAGGCTTCATCGTAAGGATCGGAAGGTGCACGAATGCAAAATTAGACGGGAAAACTTGAAGGAAAGAGTGAAATGCGAGGCCTGAAAAAGCTTCGTCAAACAGCCAGAGGCCCCGGGGTGAAGGTGGTCGAGGTAAAAGGTTGAAATGGGTTCAAATCGTCGCAAAAGCGCTCGTCTTTGAATTCGAATAAGCGATCTATAAATAACTGGCCGTTCAGCGCGCCGCAACACGACAGGCAAAAATAACAGACCGATCAGCATGGTGGTGTCAAAGATTTCTCAAACGGGGTCGTAAACCGAAAGACATGGCTATATCACGCCGACTTTCTTGCCTATCGCAACTTCTCCTATTATGCGGTTTTATCACTATGCGCATATGTATTCGTGAGCCGTATGCGAAGAGAGGACTAGTTCTCGCTATAATGCACAGACGAGTGGAACCGATGTGGAACACGTTCGGAATGAGTTTCAACCACTGCTAGACTCCAGTGAAGCGAAAGTTTCGTGGATGGGCGACCGGCAGCCTTCGGCAACTGTGGCTGGTGAAACCGCTCAAACTCTTCTCCCGAGGCTAGGTACAGGGTGGTCCCGGAGTTGGGGAACGGATGCCGATAAGCTTTCGACTAGGCGATTTGAGGATTTCAATTGGAATCATTTTCCAGGGCGTATTCTTCCATTCAAGCCAGCTATGGTGCCTCTGAGGCTCAGACTCTTAGTTCGAGACCGCGACGTGAGAATACCAACGAGCTCACCAGTGAAGCACTGAATCAATACCGCCAAAGTGGAGGCCGAGGAGGTGTCACTGATAGGTGTCATGTCGACAGAAAAATCTTCCGGCAGCTCCTGCTCTCCGTGTATAAACCGGGACTTGTAAGTTGAAACGTTGCCACCAGTTCGTTACGAATGCTGACCGGCTGAATAAAGATTTGGTTAACGAAGAAGACAGTGGGGAAAACAAGTTGAGTACCTCCGGCCAAGCATCATCGATGTCTGCTGTATGTACATCTCCCCATGGTCCATCGTACCCAGCTCGTGGGCCCCTTCACTTTACATTTTTTCCCTCGACCAGTAACTGAAGAAAAAAAAATCTTTATCGTGTATCAGGCGTCTTTATGCCGAACGGATTGATCTGGACAATACATTAGCCCGTATATGTTGTCAAAGGTTCGCCACACACGTACCGTGCAATGTCCGTCATTGGTATTCATCAAGATATGGAATAGACTGGTCAAGGGCAGTTGATGATGGTAGTTTGAATTTGAGAAGCAGAGAAAAGGAAAGCTGTTGAGGCCAGCTGAACTACTTGATGGCAATGACGGCACGCCGTTCTGGTCCCTACATGGCCAAATCTCGATAGCAAGGTGTCTGTGGTATTAATATTTAACGATACATCTTGTAGTTGGATACAGATACAAATACACATGTAAATCCTGTTGGAGGAAATGAATGAAGCAATGTAGTTGGATACAATGAGCGAAAGTTGCAAGCAGCAGAAATCCTGTTGGAGGAAAGCATAACCAAGAAAAACGTTATTTGTCTAGTGACGCGTCGCCGCTTCAGCGGCCTTTAGGGCCACCTCAAAACCTCCCAGCAAACCGTTCGTATCCTCCATTCCGACACTGATCCTCACCAGGCCTTCTTCAACGCCGTACTCTCTGGCCCAATCCAACTCCGTATAATGAGCAAGGATCGTGAATGGACAAGCCAATGTGAAATTGGTTCCCAGGCTTGGGCCCTTGTATACCGGCAGGGCATCAAAGAACGCCTGTGAGGCAGCATTGGATGTGAAAGTGACCGAGAACAAGCCACCATATCCACCGCCAGGGAGTTGACAATGCTGGTAATGTTCCGTCGTGGTATACTTGGGATAAAACACGTCCTTGATGGGGGTGTTTGGTGAGGAGGATTTGTGATTATGGAGGAAAGAGCAAATCGCCTCTGTGTTGGCGTTGATGACTTGAGATCTACGAGCGAAATCACGAGAGTTGCGTTCCAAAAATATGGCATCTTGGTCAAAGTACGCATTGGCTTCGTATGTAGCGTCCATCTTGGCTTTGAGATTGGCATAGTGACGACTTTGAGGGTTCAAGACCATGCTAAAATACGATGAGCAACGTGGATGCGGAAACAAGGAAGAAGATCATACCTCCCGCCCATGACGTTCGAGGCACCGCTGAACACCTTGGTCAAACTACTGACGACCACATCGGCGTAAGGCAGTACTTTGACGTTCATGAAGTTCCCAATGGTTTCGTCTATGACAATCAGAAAGTCGTGTTTATCGGCCAATTTGCGAAGTCTAGGTAGATCGGCTGATCTAAGGAGGGGGTTGGAAGGGAACTCCGTGAAGAGTGCGAGTATGGGAGGCGTAGACGGCTTGGACCGTGCCTCCTCTTCCAAGAGAGTTTCTAATTGATCAATATCGCTGTCTAATCCATGTCCGAAGAAATGACATCCAGGTCCCCATTTTTGTAGGATCTTAAGAGTATCAGTGTACGGGAATCTGTGAAGAAATTTAGACACCATGTATGGCACGCAAGAAACGATTCGCCACTCACCCGAAACATACGCTCTTCGCTTCGGGTTTAACACCGAGGGC